TTTTTAAAGTATCCTTTGCTAGGTACGGTGGCACATGCCTATAATCCTAGGACCCTGGGAAGCTGAGACAGGATCACAAATTCAAGCCTAGGTAATTTGTATCTTAGACAATCTTGTCTCATAATAAAAAGGGCTGAGAATAGAGTTCAGTGTGCTAGGAATGTAGCTCTGTGTGCGGGCCCTGAGCCCTCTCCCCACACAAAGGTATTCTTTTTCCTCCAGAATTTCCTAAAGGTATGATATATTATGACTTGTAGAACTTATAGTCCATTTGAAATGACTCCATATTTTTTTAGATATAATTCCTATTTCTCTGATAAGGAATCTACTTGTAGAATTGGATTCATCCTTTACTAGAGGCCACATACTATGAATCATGATAAAATCTTTCATACATTCATACATACAACTATATTGGCCAGTAACACAATTCACTTGCTAGTAAGAGCCAGCATACGGCTGTGAAGGATGAGATATGAAGTAAGGGCAAAGTGTGTTCTTACCCAGGGTGAGAAATTGGCAGAGATCTTACTTTCCTGTTCCCTAGCGAAACAGTGTCAACTGATGAGAAAGGTAAATAATCTTTAGAACAATTTAACATTAACATTTTAAAAAGTTACTAAACAAAGCTATTTTCCTAAAACTCTACATCTATGCTTCTGAAAGAGGAAGTTGCTTACCTCTGCCTCTGCTGTCAACTGTCTCTTCTTTGCTATCAATTGTTTTATGTCGATTCGACCTAAGGGAAGAAAAAAAGCAAGCTTTACACATGCAAGTTTGACTTACTTCATTCTGATTATTGAGTATGGCTATGATTATTGAGTATGGTTTGATTATGAGTATATAGTCATGTGTACACATCATACTGTCACCCTAGTGTAAGAAACTAAAAGAGTAAATACAATCCAAAATGTACAATAGATATTGTGAGAGGGAAAAAAACTGCTTAAAAGGAAAGGGACAGGAGAATAGAAGGAAAAAGAAAAGAATGTATATACACACACAAGATAGCTAACTATATTAATTTCTATTAGTTCATTGAGAAGGTTTATACTTATACTGTTTGATCAATTTTTTATGACTATATCTTGTAATCTGAGCAACTACTTTGAAGATAACAACACACAAAGTATTAACCATTGTTAATCTAGTATCTTGTTTTGAAATTCTGTATTGTTTTTATTGTTTTTTTTCTCTTTAAAATAAAAAAAGCAAGCTTTAAGTTAATAGATACAGCTACCTACCAGCACCACTTTCACTCACTTGAAAACCAAGCAAATGCAAAAATGATTGTGTAAACTATGGTACAATCACAAAACATGACAAAACCCTTGAAAATAAAGCTTGCTGGGGAGATAGCTCAGCGGTACAAGCGCCTGCCTGGCAAGAGCAAGGTCCTGAGTTTAATTCCCAGTACCAAAAAAATAAAAAATGAAAAAAATAAAGCTGCACAAAATACATAAAAGGAATTTTACACAGAAAAATACTAAGAAAAAAAGAACAAAACTATAAATATACAGTAAGGACAACTATGTTAATCACATGATACCATAGATCCAATTCTGACAATATAAGAATCTAGATTCCCTGAGAAGTCCCTAAAATTGAGACTACTAAGATACTGAGTAAAATATTAAAAAGTAAAATACATTTTAAACTTATTACAAACTGGTACAGATCTAGATGAGCAAATACATAAAATGAAACTAGAACCGTAGAGGATACATGAGTAATGTATGGATTCTTAACAAATGTTTGAAACCCTGAGTGCTACACTGGCAGCCACACAATATCTGAACAGTACACAGGCAACATTACAGAACAGAAAGTCTAGGGCCTGTCCCAACTTGAGAAGCCTAACAGGGTGCCATCTAAAGTAAGAACTCCTAAGGCTACATCCTTGGTGGACAGGACAGAAACAAGAGAAGGGAACAGTAAGGAATATATGTGTCTATCTGATGCTGTTCAGATGGGAAAAAGATGTCCCCCAAGAACTTACAACCCCCCTTACAAGATTTTACAACCTAAATTTACACTAGCTATGTGGTCTCAAAAACTTGAAGAATTTTATTTATTTTAAGGCAAACCCATGTTGTGTCCTCCAACTATGGGCAGATGCAATGCAATTCCTTCCTGGAAGACTACAGTATCAAACAATGCCTTTTAAAGAATTCAAACAGATACAGTTTCAAGATAAAAGGATGAGCTCATAATTAAATCATAAATGTACTGGGGAACAAGGCAACACAAGTGAGACAGCAAAAACCAAAGCCAAGGGACTCAAATTAGAAAACTTAAAAGATACTAGATTGTCTTTGAGGGGGATAAACTAAGAAAGTTTAAGGAAATAAAAGCTGCGCGTGTTGGTGCACACATGTAATCCCAGCACTCAGGCGGCTGAGGCAGGAGGATTGCAGCGTTCGAGGCCAACCTGGGCTACAAAGTGAGTTCAAGGCCAGTCTGAACTACATATTGAGACTCTCAAAAAACCAAAATAAATAAAAAGGAAATAAAAAGAACCAAATAGATTTTTCAAAATGAAAAATAAAAAGCTTGAAATTTCAAGCTCAATGGATGGATGATCAAACATATCTCAAATCAGAATTTAGATTTTTTTAAAAAATAGTGATGGAAAATACTAGAGAGATTAAAAGACGTGGAAAAGATTCCACCAAGTGGCCGACAGGAGCCAGGGCCAACAGGACGGTGCTATAGATGGATGGGGACAAGTCCACAACAGATTATTCCCGATTTAGACTGTCTGTAGACTACACTGAGGTGAAGTCATTATGTCATACCATTTTATGTTGAACATAAATGATCATAAAGACACAATGGATCAAAATAAAGTCTCAGAGAACAGGATATATAATTGTCAATGTGCCAAAAATTACAAAAAGAAAATGCCATACCCCAGTCAGGAAAGATTGCAAAGGATGCCAAAGATTATGTCCAAAACTTTGAGCTCTTTAGCTTTGTAATATCTGAAGTAAATGAATGTTATCATAAAGAAAATGACATTAAAAGAGAACTAAATGAATGGAAAGATACCCCATCTTCACTGACTGGAAGAAGATATTGTTAAAATAGCAATACTTTCCAATGTAATCTATAGATTTCAAAGCAGTCGTCATCAAAATTTCAGATGGTGTTTGTAACTCTGTATTGTCTGTATTGTGCTTGTGATATGTTATAAAATGTTGTATGTCTGTTAATGTTTCCCTCCTTTTATCTTTAAAATAAAAAAAAAAATTTCAGATGGTTTCATTGCAGAAACTGGCAAATTAGTTCTCAAATTCATATGGAAATTCTAGGGACACAAAACAATCAGAAAAATCTTGAAAAAGTTGGAAGACACTGCTAAGTTTAAACAGTCAATAGGATAGACTTAAGATTCCAGAAATAAAGACAAAAATCAATTGATTATTCAAAATGATGCCAAAATGACTGAGAAAGAGCAGTCTTTTCCACAAATGGTGCTACGACATTTAGACAGAATAAAGATGGACCCTGAACTCACACCAATATAGAAATTAACTTTCAAAGGTCAAATATCTAAAAACATTAAGAGCTTAAACTACATTTTTGAAATGTAGTTTCTTGTCTGAAATGCTACAAACCAAAACTGTTTCACATTTTGGAATTTCTTGGATCTTGGAATATTTGCATAGATTTTACTTGATAAAGTTAATCCAAAAGCAGATTATCAGATTAGAGATGCTTATCCTGTATATAAAGCTCTTAGGAGAAAATACAGGCATAAATCTTTGTGGCGTTGGACTAGACAATGGCTTCTTAGATAAAGTAGCAAAAGCAAAAGCAGAAATAAAAAAAAAAAAAACCATATAAATAGGATTCCATCAAAATTTAAAAGTCATTTTTGTGCTGCAAAGGACACCACCAAGAAAGAAAAAAACAGCACAGAGGAAAAGAAAAACGTCTGCAAATCTGATCAGGAGCTTAGATCCAGAATATACAAATTAATTTAAAAATAAAAAGAGTTAAGCAATTTAATTGCTTAAGATTTAACCAATTTGGGCCGGTGTTATAGCTCAGTGGCACAGTGCCTGCCTGGCAAGTGCAAGGTCCTGAGTTTGATTCCCGGTAAAAAAAAAAAAAAAAAAAAAAAAAAGATTTAACCAGTTAAACTTAAGCATATTTATTCCCAGTTCCTTATTCTAAAACTAATCTTCAAAATCAAAATAAAATTAACCTTGTACAGAAAATCTTTAAAATCCAAGCCACTGCCCCCAAAATAAAAGAAAATTCTCACTACCTTATAAGGTTGAGTGACCAATATTACTAGTATTTTGATTAATATAATTTGCCTTTTTACTTTGGGAAAAATTCATGTATTTCTATTAAAAATGATTCATGTACACTATTCTATAACCTATTTTTTCACTTAATATATCGTGAACATCTTTCCATGTCATTACATACTCTTCTACATTTTTTTATTGCCCTATTATTCTGTTTTTCATGGCTGAAACATTATTTAATCCTCTATTGGACATTTTGACTACTTTTATCATTTCACAATATGGCAGCTGAGAAAAAGACATGGAGTATGAAAAGGACCAAAATGTATCTAACCAGAGCTGTCTGAGAGACAATACAGTAGTTGATGTAATAACAGCTGAGAATTTCCCAGAACTGTTGAAAGAGGAAGATAAAGACTAAGTCAGGTCAAAGAATTCTAAGGAGGATAAATAACTATTTACTTAGATACATCACAGTGAAACTGGGTAACATGTTTTGTTGTTGTTATTTTGCTTATTTGGTCATAGTAGGAATTGAACTCCGACAGCTATATCCCTCCTCAAACCCCAACTCTTTTTTTGTATGTTTGTTTGTTTTTCTTCCAGTAATAGGAATTGCACTCACAACCTTGCGCTTGCCAGGCAGGCGCTGTGCCACTGAGCTAAATCCCCAGCCCCTAAACCCCCACTCTTTTTAAGACAGGGTGTTGACTAATTGCTCATGCTGGACTCACATTTGCAGTCTTCCCATCTCATTCTCCCAAGTAGCTTGAATTACAGCTATGTGTGTGTGGCGGGGGGGCACTATTCAAAGCCAAGAGAAAGAAAAATATCAACTACGAAACAATTGCAACTACACAGCCAACACAGGTAGTTGGCTTATTTCAATGGAAACCAGAAATACTAGAATATCTGGAACTGTCAAGAGTGGTGAGAATTACTTTTTAAAAAGGAAATTAAAAGATAAACTAGAAACTTTTATAAGTAAATGGATGTAACTCCAGACCATATTCGTAAGTGAAATAAACCAGATGCACATGTGCAAACATTATACGGTCTCCCTAAGTGTGAGAAGCTGAAAGAGCAAATAAGATACAAAATGTACAACAGTTTTAAATCAGGAAGAAACTGTTCAAAAGAAAAGAGGAAACTAGGGTGGGGGATTGGAGAAGAAAAGGAAAGGCAAAGCAAAAAATGAAAAATATATACATATATAGTAGTTAAGATAGTTATACTACTAATTTCTCTTCGTTCATTGAAAAGAAAGGTTTGTGCTAATATTGTTTGGATAATTAAGTGCTGATACCTTGTACTCTAAGGAACTAATTTAAAGATAACAATATGTAATGTATTAACCATTGTTAATGGTTAATTAACCAATGAATTTTAACCATTAACCACTGAAATTTTTTTCTATTTAAAACAATAAAAAAGAAAAGAAGGAAATTAGAAGTCAAAACATGAAGAACTTTGAGGA